CGGTCAGCCGTGTCGGTCAGAGACCACAGTGAGCCACGTCGATCAGAGACCATGGTGAGACGTGTCGATCAGAGGCCACGGTGAGCCGCGTCGATCAGAGACCACGGTGAGCTGTGTCGATCAGAGAACTCGGTGAGCCGTGTCGATCAGAGACCACAGCGAGCTTTGTCGATCAGAGACCACAGTGAGCTTTGTAGGGCTGCGCAAGCTGAAGTCATCATCACGGGCGTCGGAAAACTTATTTGCAGTCTGCCACCGTCGGTGTTGATGCCAGGACTCCAGGGGAACTGTGCGGAGGAGTCGTGTTTAGCAGCCCGAGATGATGTCTCTGTTTTCGCGATAGGGCGTTCGGTGGAGTAGCTCGATAGTTGTCAGTAGCACACATACAACATTTTCAGCACCACAGGAGAAACATATCGTACATTCAATGAGAACCAAAAGGAAGGGAGGAAAACAAAACAGCGCAACAAGCTAATGCAACGTTCGTAAGAAAGAGAAGAAGGAGAACAAAGCATTGCTACAAAAACCGCTAGCCATTTACAGATCTTCTCAAATTCACGTGCCCATACTCGTTTTGACCTGATGGGATTTACTTGTATCGAAGAACCGCACAATCGATAGGTTATGACATCGGCTAGTAACCGACAATGATCTATGGCCTTTCTGGAAGATTGGCTGAAGCGCGGGTTGGAGCGTCATTATATGCTGGTTGGCTGTCGGTGGTTTTAAAGCGTGATTACATGTAAGTGTATCATAGTGCATTGTCCCACTCGTCGCGCCCCAATTTCGGTCGGGTAAAAATGTGTTTTTTTGTGAATGGATGCTGCATTCAGCTGTGGAGTGATCGCAAGGTGTCCATTTTTAATGAACGCGGTCCGACTTCGCGAAGACCGAAGCCATGACGATGAATGAGGTCATGGCATCGCTCCGTCTAGTTCGGGAAGCGCAATCGCACGTTAGGGAGGATTTCATGGAACGTCTGTTATGTTAATTTCTTAGCTAAAGATCATCTGAGCAGACTGGTGCATCTTTAACCTAGGCAAACGAAGGCCGATAGTGGGTTTTATCTGTGCTTTGTTTGTTTTTTCACTTTTGTTTGCTTGTTTTTTTACAACACAAATTGTCCCAGCGGTCAACTTCCATTGAAACTTCAACTTCCCCGGCGGTGAAATGCCCTCTCCGAGGCAGGTTTGGTTCGAGCTTGGCACGGATCATTACATTCCCCAAGGGAAATAGCACGGCGTTGAAATGTTCGTGCTAACGACATATTTCAACGAGTGTAATGTACGAAGTGCAATTCCAAACTGGCGGTGCTTGTTCTCAGAGAGGATCAAAGAATGAATCAGGTCAAAGAATGACCCAATTGTTGCGAGCTCTGGTCGGCGAACTGCATGGAAATGGCTATTGATGAGCTATCGCGTCTAAGCAGCTTTGTGTCCCTGTCTTGCCAGAAACATTGATGCTTTTGAACACAATTTAACAAAAATGGCGTGAAATGTTAATACATTCAGGAGAAATGGCTATGGCCTACAGGGCATCGTTAGGATTATTTGATCTCTCGTGAACAGCTCAACGAATTTCTCCGTTATAACTTCATTAACTCAACAGCAGCGTGCACGGGCGGCTTTGGCTTCAGCCTTTCTGCCAACAAAGCTGATGTGATATGCTCTAAACTCCAAGTGATACTGTCCAGTTAAACAGAGAATGTTGCCTCTATCTTTTCACCAGACAGGACTACGGGGGAGGGGTGAGGGGGGGGAAGGGTATAAAGTATCGCACGATGCTTCCACACAGCCACCGCGGGCCTGGTTCGACCCTCGTTGTGCAGTCGCCGGTCGAGCTTACCATGTCAGTCCGGTCAAACCATGCGCCTCCTTAGGGGCTCGAACGCAAGACCGCTGGATAATGGGTCCGGCGACTTTGATTGATTGCTGTTTATGATTGATCTAATTTTATTCGGTTATGTGCTGCATTGGTGTGTGTTTCTATTATGTCATTGATTAATTGCAATCATTATGAATTCCTTACTCACAGATCGCATGGTGTGATTCAAAGTACATGTGAAGTAATAGCGAAGTGCATGTGCTCTGCGGGGAAGCGTTGTACTGGTTGCTGAGATGTGAATAGCAGTGATTGTTTAGGATGTGCCAAATGCTCGGAAATGTAAACTCAAGGGCGGGTCCTCGTTGGGTTTCGAAAAGGGGTTTCAGTGTTCTTAATTGATGCTTATTCCTGAAAACAAAGCAAAAACATTGGAATTGTCGCCTTTGTCATCTTCTTGGGGGTCCATGGGCAGCAGCTTCTCTTGCTTCTCGCTGAATTTGGACAACAGTGTCACGATTGTTTCTCTTTTTTGACAGAAAGCGAGGAGTAACAGCCACTGGCTGAAGTGTAAACACATTTTTTTAGGAACGTTTCAGAATATTTCATCTCCCCTAAAAACGCCGAGAGAAAATTTGACTTGGAGAAAACCAAAAGCCAATGGTCTCTGTATTGGCTTGGGGTATGCCAAGTGTTGCAAGTTAGTTCTACATTATGTTAGTTTGCACTCGTTTCGTTTTAAAAACTGGGCATCATAGTCCATTGCAGAAGCGAAACGTTTGAAGCTTACCGCCGATGGCAAAGACAATTGATGGCATCACTTCCTCATCCTCCCCTCAATGTCGTGTCTGATGGTGGCCATCCACAACACCACGCCATGGATATTTTTATTACTCCCTCATCCACCTTTCAATGTTGTCTTCTGATAGTGGCCATCCACAACACCACGTTAGGGTTGTTGGTATTACTCCATCATCCTCCCCTCAACGTCGTCTCTGATGGCGTCCGTCCACAACAAAACACTAGGGTTGTTGGCATTACTCCATCATCCTCCCCTCAATGTCGTCTCTGATGGCGTCCGTCCACAACACCACACTAGGGTTGTTGGTATTACTCCATCATCCTCCCCTCAATGTCGTCGCTGATGGCATCCGTCCACAGCACCACACTAGGGTTGTTGGTATTACTCCCTCATCCTCCTCTCAGCGTCGTCTCTGATGGTGGCCATCCACAGCACCATCCTAGGCTAGCTTTGGTAAATTCACGCGCACATTTGCACGCAGCTTCTTTATGGGCATCCTTTCTTGCCGTCCCTTCGGCGTCACTGCGTCGATTATGGCGCTGAATGGGTCGGCGTCGACTGCAGTTCACAGACCCATTACGGGTCGCCGTTCCAGTGACTCGAACCACTCAGCTGAATGGACTCGCCGCTTGGTTCATTGGGCTTAAGATGTTTGGGTGGGCTAATTGGTCTACCCGTGAGAAAAATACATGTCCCGAGGACGGCGATGGTTACATGCGGCGAGAGCGACCACCATCGATGTTACATGTGGCGAGAGCAACTACCGCCAATATTACATGTGGCAAGAGCGACCACCACCATTGTTACATGCGGCGAGAGCGACCACCGCCGATGTTACATGCGGCGAGAGCGACCACCGCCGATGTTACATGCGGCGAGAGCTTCTCAGCCGGTGTTACATGCGGCGAGAGCTGCCGCTGCCGATGTTACAAGCGGCGGAAGCGACCACCGCCGATGTTACATGCAGCGGGATCGATCACTGCCAATGTTACATGCGGCGAGAGCGACCACCGCCGATGTGGGTTGTTGTTTAAGACTGAGTCAATCACTCCCTGACATTTTTTGGTGTTCTGTGCAGTCGCATTGCTGACAGCTCAACAGATCCATCGTCTGTAGGTGCATCACCTGTCCCTTAATGCGACGGAATCATATTGAATATGAACATGGGCGTTGTGCTGGCGTTCGTTTGGTTGTAAATCTACCGATTTTGTTTCATAGATGCATCAGCACACGGTGAGGTTGTTACGACAACCCAATGGAGCTCCTCCTCCTTGTCCGAGATAAATTTTTAATAATTTGGAAAACGGCGCCGTCGCTTGACATTCTGGCCTGCTGTCGACTACTGAATATGCGCTGCGCAGCAAGCTAGCGGATGAAACGGCTGGACCCAACCCATCATAATGGGCTAGAGTGAGCCAAAGTCAGTGTCAAGAAAACGTGGGCATGTGTAGGCTAGCCGTAGATCTTACCGTTGCAAAGTAACTGTTTGGTGCTTACATTTACATTAAGTTTCTGGTGGCCCAAAACGCCAGGCATCAAAGTAAGGGTCAAGCCAGTACCTGGCGCAAACATACGGAAGGCTTACTTGTTCGCAGGTAATACCCACTCGAAAACTCAAAGGAAAGTATCAAGTGTCAGGACAAATATTTGTGTTTGCTGTAAAATCCTGCTCGCGCATTGAGAAACTTAAAAAAAAACCATTTCGGTGAGCATTCACTTGGTAAGCTCCGGCACTTCTCGTGTCAACCAAACAGTCACTGAATCCACGACTGAAAGCTCTCCAGGTGTTGGAAACTTCTTTTGGCTGTCTGTGCGACTGACAACTGATCTTGGCAACTGACTTATGTTTCATCGGATTCAGAGATCCACGACGTTTTGCCATAGTCGCTGGTCCAGCCAGATCAGCTTAACTCAGCTGATTTCGTCTTCATATCAGCTTGGCTTGTATTTCTTTTCGGGAAAGTTTGCCAACTTGTAATACTCGATTTCGGCAAGTTCCACGTGCAGCTTTGATGCTGGCCTGCTTTGTGTTCAGGGGGGCAGCAATCGCTGCTGGTTGCCACGACTGATGCTCGTGCATGTCTGATGACGTTGTGTTTTCACTGGATCAGAGTGCCCTCTTGCTGTGTGTCGCCCGGTATGGGTGTCGTGTACCCCAGTTGTTCTGACCGACTGTGGTTCTCGCCGTTTCAGGGAGGGACAGTTCTGGTTTCTTGCTGTGTGTCACCCGGTATGGGTGTCGTTTACCCCAGTTGTTCTAACCAACTGCGGTTCTCGCCGTTTCAGGGAGGGACAGTTCCGGTTTCTTGCTGTGTCACCCGGTATGGGTGTCGTGTACCCCATTTGTTCTGACCGGCTGCGGTTCTCGCCGTTTCAGGGAGGGACAGTTCCGGTTTCGGTCGGTGATTGAAGAACTAGTGGAGGCGGCTCTCGGTAAGGCTCGTGCGCCTGAAGAATGGCGCGACAAAAATGGCGCGTCAAAAATGGCGCGACAAAAACGGCGCGATAAAAATGGCGCGACAAAAATGAGGCGCGGCCTGCGTTCCCTTTTTGGCATGCGTCAAGGCACCTGCGAATCGACTTCAGTTTGAGAGTGATTTGTCGTCATTGTTTTGTTTAATGCGTGGCACTGGCTGGCGATAACAATAAGTGCATGAGAGTTGTTGGCGCCCGCTGAAGTGGTCCTCCTTCCCATGGTAGCTGAATGGATAAGACAATAGTAATAGCCTTATTCCTCGGAGAAAATACAGGAAAATGAAGATATCGTTTGTCATGGTTTTATTAGTTAAAGATATTCGTTAGACATATTAGTTGGCCTCCTGGTTTTTCTCTGACGAATAAGGCTACTACTACTGTCTTATCTATTTGAACAGTGCTCCTCGCTAATGCACTGAACAACTCATGGTGGCTGAATACTTCAATATCACGTTGCCGATTGTAAGCCGTGGAAATGTCTTCGACTATGTTTGTATGTTGCCCACACAAAGCTAACGTGCCATGAAAAAAAACAAAGTGGTCGTTGTTGTGTGTTCATCATAACGTAATAGTGTTTCAAAATATATTTTTCCACACACGCAGGCGGAATTGGTCGGCAAGATGTGTATTTGCGTTGACCCAATCCCAAACGAGCGACCCATCTCCCAAACGGACAGATGGGGTCACTGCTGTGATCCTCCGTTGCGACTGACGACTGTTGTGATCCTCCGCTGTGATTAGCCACTGTCGTGATCCCCCGTTGTGGCGGGCCACTGTTGTGATCCTCCGTTGCGATTGGCCACTGTTGTAATCCTCCGTTGCGATAGGTCGGCCCACTGTCGTGATCCCCCGTTGCGAGAGGTCAGACCAGGTTTGAGCCCAGCAGAAAGGTTCGAGCTTTGGATAGGGTAGAGCAATTGCAATACGATAGCTGGATTATGACAATTGAAGTACATTTTACATTGGATTGAAGTACATTTATAAGCTGCAGCAGATAAATGCTGCATGTATTGTGTAATATTGTACATGAAGCTGCAGCAAGTAGTGGACGAGGTACAAGTTACTGGCATCTCCTCGACGCAGTTCGAGACGCCCTCTTGACAACAGTAGGCGACGGAAATGATTCTGCTATTCCATTCGTGGCGCATCGGTTATGCTAATGCTTTCAGCGTGCTGATTGCACTATATGGCTGGTCGATGGAATCTGAGTGCTGTAGAGAAAAGGCAGCGCAGTGCAAATCAATAGGCAATGTGGTCGAGGAGGAGAAAAACATCCATTTCTTCTGGATATAAGTAAGGTGGCATAGTGCCACTGTACCATTGAAAACAATCACAGTCGAAATCATGCTACGTTGGCGTAATACTGGACGGTGGGTTTATATTATGGTCTTATGGTTACCTAAAGGATAAGTTTAAAACAGCGTGCATTGGGCCTTAGCTCCTATCTGTTATACTTCATATCTCTTACAGGCCCTATTTCCATTGGATGAGCTCGCGTGGTTGATGCGCTTTTTCACTCACTCCGTTAAGTACGTATTTGCAAACAGACAAACACAACTTGCTCTGCAAGACGTTAGCTACATCGACGTCGTTGCATCATTCTGATCCCAAAATTTATTTCCTAAACAAGGTAGCAGTTCCGGTCATCAGAAGGGCACCCGGCCATCGATCAGAAGTAAAAGTTGAGTTGCTCAGTATCTACTGTGACTGGAAAGCAGCTTTCTTGTAATTTGTTTTTCTTAGCACGTCAAGCATTTGTCCCAATGAAGTATTTTTAGCATACAAAATGAGTTCTAGGAAAAGGAATGTTGGTTAGCAGAAGTACAGTGGTTGCAGTAGCGTGCGGGACATAGCTTCTTCCGCAGGAAATGACGTTCTAGAATGCGGTGACGTCAAAGAATACTTTCTGTAGAATTAGCTCATGCCATACTGGTCATTTCTAAGACACCAACGTAGAACAGTCCAGCTGTAGCACGTAACACGTAAAATGATAGCTTTTGCATAAAAGTTTTACTAAAATGTTGTTTCAAAACGCTACCCCATCGCGTACGTGGAATGTGTAAGTTATTCTGAAATGCATCATAAAGTCATGTGTTTCTGGTACCAGCGTAGCATGAAAAATTGATTATGTACTCATCTACGTCAATGACTTTTGACACTGCCTATGTTCCAATGCTAAAACTGGATGATTTGGCTGAGCCCAGAAGGATTATTGTAGCTCTAACAGTGCTCTAACGTCGTTGCAGCTGAAGTAAACGTGACAGCTGTATTCCATCTCAGGAGGAAAACATGTACAATCCCCTTGAAGGGATAGTTCCGCCTTCGGTTCTTATTTCAAAAGCATGCTCTGGCGAGATCTCAGAACTAGGCACATCTAAGAATAGTACTGGCTCTTTTCTGCTGTCGTGACCACTGTTGTCGTGGCAACCACCGCGCGCCCCTCTGCTGGTGCGAATAAAAGAACGTTTGTGATTGGCCCAGCGAGCAAGAGCTTGCTACCGAGAAGCACATTAGTGAAAGTTTGAATCAGTGCTTCACATGGATTATGTGGTACTCCATTCTCAACGTCAAAATGCATCTCGAAAAGAGACAGTGCGATGAACGTCATAGGGGAGCAATCGGAGCCTTGGTGAAAGGTTTCATTTACTTCGCACGATAATAGTTCCATGTTTGTATATTTTTGCTTCAAAAGGGTGTTTCAAGCTCTCGTAGCATTTATTACACAATCTTTTTGACGCAACGCATAAGGCATAAGTGTGATTCAAACAACGGAACACACATTGACAAAAGCAATGCAAATAAATATGTACTACTTTCATAGCGGTGGGCGGGGAGTTACGTGAGATTTCTTCCGCGGAGGCGGCTATTTCGAATCAAAATGCTGAGCTATTCGGAAATGTATCGAGAAAACTGGTATTGCTGGTCAAATCGTGTACGTCCGATGTAACAATGAGGGAAAAGTACAAAAAATATGAGACACTCCCTTGAAAATGAACAGCGCCGAGACCGGTTGTCATTTTGCCTTTAACTGATCACCCTGCAGTGCTACACTACACCGCAAGGCAGAGGTGCAATGCGGAACAGTCTATACCGCCGTGTGGCTTACCGGCCGCTGGCTGCTGATTTGCTTTTGGGGGAGGGGAAGGACCCATTTCCAAAAGATCAGGAACTTTGTGCCGCCTGATTTTTGAGAACCCGCGAAGAAAGGCAGCTGCTTTTTTGTGGCTTTAACGTATGCCGTTTTCTCTTTAACTGAACTGACAACTGCTTGTAAAATAATTAATATCAAACTCTGGTCTCTAATGTGTGCATTGATGCAGCGTTGTCTCATTCGGAATTGGAAATATTCAATAGTTTGAATTTATATTGATAGCAGGATGGATTATAAAAATGCCGCTCCAAAAAGCTGGTTTTAAACAAAAGCCAACCAACGGGAAGCCTTAGCAAGTTTACTTATTCATAGTTCTAAGCCCCGTTCACAAAGGGATTTGAAAGCGTTTCTACTGAAAGCATCGTTGCATTCAATGACTAATGTCTGAAAACGGAAAGCGACGCCAGCATTTGCCGCTTGGATAACTAGCTGAAACTAGTGGCATTGTCTGTTTGAGTCATTACGCGGGCAGGCTGTGTGTGTCATCGCTCAGCCCATGGTGGCAGGCATTTAACCTGGCAGGAAAAATATGGCAGAACACAGGCAAGTTCGGGACTATTTACCATTGGAGTGACAGCAGAAACCAGTGTGGCTGGAATTCCGCAGGAGAAATGTGCCGTCGCTGTTGGACCATCGCAGTTCAGATCACGTCGGACGCGTCGTACATTAGAACTGGACAACGCTGGTTACAGCGTTACGCAATTTCAATGAAAACGAATAAACGTGATGTTGTTTAGAATACCGAGTGTGACATATCGAATGAAAATGTTGGGGAGCCTGAAGAGGAGGCTGCCCGCAGGTCGAGCAGTTACTTTTACGCTTTTTGTAGTTGAGCTGGGCTTTGATGATAAGCATATCTTGAAGCAGTTACCATTCACTAGCGGCTTCCCCCTGCTTGAGGAATTTCATTATAGCTAGGAATGTCAGCTCTAGTTCTTTTGTGAAATCCGGGTATTTTGTGATTGTTGAATTTTTTAAATTCCGTTGTCTCAGACTATTTCCGGATTAAAATACACCTGTCAAAGTCAAGGATTCTAATGAATTTTTGCATGTCCAAGAGATACAATTTTCAATAAATAGAAGTAAACGTCAGTCCCGTAACAGCTGCCCCAAAACGTACGACGTATGCCAAAGGACGTATGCCAAATAAATTGGTAAACAGTTAAAATAATCATGCAGAAAGTAGAAATGTGAAATGTAAGTTGAAATGTGAAAGTAGATTGCCCTCTTTGAGTTTGGAAAATAATCGATTCTGAATAGCTATGGATTTTATCGCGGGTATGCCAGGATTGACAGCTCTTAAACATGCCTTCCGTATCATACATAAATGTCTTTGGCGTATGGATTTCAATATCTGCTGTCTTTTCCACATTACATCCAGGTTTTAATACCTGCTGGCTCTCACCAGAACGATGGAAAATAAATTGTAGCTTGTGCAGTCCAGGTCTTCGTAGATAAGTCAGCAGCCCACAAACTGTAAATGGATTCCTAGATATTGTGTGCCAAGGGGTGTCCCCTTTAGACGTAAGTGAAATCCCCTTTACGTTTGCTGTAAATCGTAAACAACCCGTGGTGCCTGCCCCTGTTGTCCGCGTTGTTTTTGATCCTCAGAATACTTGCAAGCGTTTCCCCTGTGAACGTCACGCGCGTGACGTTGCCACTGTTGCAGCGCGCTGA